CATTCGGAGGAGGATCCGTTGGATATTTTACTGTCAACTAGTTCTAAACAATATTTGGAGAAAAACCCTTTGGATATCTTATTTTCAACAATAATTGAAGAGACGGAACCGGTGAATTCTAATATCTGATCATTATTGTATCAATAATTTGGAGTTTCTTTTCCACTGAATTTCAAGTGCTATAATGAGTTCTCGTAAGAAGCCAAACACGCACAGGGATGGAGCCTATGAAGAATCACGGAATGAAAAGCAAGTTCCCTATGACTCTTCATGTTTAAAGGGTTCACTCTCTGATAAGAATGAAATTATGTTTGTTACTTATTATCGTAAGCCATCGTTAGAGGGCACTAAGGGACGTAGTTTGGACGAGAACTTTGAAGTGCCTGGGAAAGATCTGATGTCTAAGACACCGGTAGTAGGCTTAGAATTGCCAAAGGTTGAATTAAGTTATTTTGATGGTCAACACCGTGATTATTTTAAATTTGTTTGGCAATTTCGAACGTTTATAGAACCTAGAGTTGATGATGACAACCTGCGTCCATTGTATCTAGTCCATTACTGCGAGGGTAAGGCAAAGCCTGCCATTAAAGGGCTAAAGACATTTTAACGCAGCTTTTTGGTCAAACACACTTGATAGCCCGGGAAATTTTAGAAGAGTTGTTTAAGCCAGGAAGGGCTGATTACAACTATCCAGAACACCTGTCGTATTTAGCCATACGTATGCAAGAATGCTCTATGATCTTAGAGCAGCTGAATTATACCTCTGAGTTGAATTCCTTGGTAACTTTGGAGCGGATAGTAAAGCTTCTACCTCATCGTATGCAGGTCCAGTGGGCAGACCTAGCAGTTAGATGGATTGATGAGGATAGGGAACCGACTTTCACCAAACTTGCTGAATTCGTATTAGTTCGAGCAACAATAGCTGGTAGCAGATTCGGTCGGCCGGCCAATCTGCTAAAAATATGACGGGACGTGAAGATGAGTTGCCACCTACAATCGGAACATGCGAACATATCGACCGTTAGGCTCGGCTGTAGCATCTGTACTGGCGACCACATTGTTTGTAAATGTGATGGTAGAAGTCTCCTAGCTGCTCGAAATGCAAGGAATGGTAATTTGGATTCGAGCAAACAGAGGTTAATGGGTGCAGGGAATATAAATAAGGACGAAACAGGTTTGACTTTACGGAACGAAGCTTATGTTCCGAACCCTTCACGTAGGGTAAATTATTTGACACGACCTAGAGCTGATCCTAGGATAGCAAGTGTAAACAGTGACACAGCACTTCATGTTGCTGCGCGATCAGGATGTCTGCCGGCTACTGTATCCAGTCCAACGGAGTATCATAATAGTGAAGCGAAAGATAATAGCAGCTTAGGGCGTCCTGCTGATGTCTGTTTACAGTCAACTGATGGACGGTTGCATACTAGTCCAAGTAGTCATAGCAATATTGATAGTATTTGTGTAAGTGGCAGAAGTGGTGGCTTACGACTAAAGCCTGCACGTGAACTATCTCGCAACTCGTCACTAACTGTGAAGAGTCGGAACATCAATGTGGACAACAACAACGTCAAGGTTGAGGTGAAACCTCATGTGTCTATTAATAGTGTGATAGATGTGAATAATAAAGGAGATGGTAACGAGAGTGGAATCACTATAGGTAGTGCAGTTTCTCCGGTTGCGGTTACCAATGTAGCTTCATAGAGTGCTTCACTTCAAGACGAAATTAGATGGTTGAGCGTGGAGAATGTAGGCGTCAGTGGCAAAAGCGTCAGCCACAGTGATGGCACTACTGAGAAGGTTAACATTCAGTGTCCTAGGTGCAATGAGGAGTCATCTAGCTCTCATGGACATGCTGTTGTATTGATTAGTCAGCATGAGGAATCGAGCATGGAACGGTCCACCTGTCGCAGTCCACCATAATTGACTTGTACTACAAGATTCGGGATGAGCACTACCAACATTGATAAGACAGCTGAGGTGAAGTACATTCCTGGTAAGGGAAGTAATGTTGATCGAGTAGAGTTGGACGCTGCACATGAGTCGAATGGATGTCATGGGAAGAGTACTACTACTTCTACTGCTGAGGTTACTAAGAATAATGGCATTGATAATACCCCTGCGGGTAATAGTGATCAAGGGAAATCGAAAGACACTCATCGACATCGAAATGGGCGTACTTTACGCCCACATACTGCTACCAAATGTGAGAAGCAGGAGAAACGATATGATGTTACTATTATTAAGAAGCGTAAACTTCGTTCTCTTTCGGATGCTGTGACTAGCAATGGAGATAGTAGTCATCAGAATTGTAGTAGTGGCAGCTATAGTGAAGAGACAGCAGGTGTTAGCAATCCATCTATAGTGACTAGTCGATCAACTTCATTGAACGAGCCTTCTAGTGTTTTGACGTCATCGAACCCCGCCTCAAATATAAAGTTGATTGAAGATGCACAAGGTTGTGCAACTGTGACTGTTTCTACTCCGGTTGACTGTCAGTTGAGTGACGATGAGAAAAATGCGTGTGATGGTAACAGCCAGTCTACAGTGTTGTATGATAACGATGCCACTGATTTGCACCTGGCTTGTGTTTCTGAAACGGAACGTGAAGAACGACAAGTGAGTTTATCAGTTTCGAATTGCGATACTAATGCTGTTCTCTCATGTAGCGAGATCAGTTATACAACAATGGAAGAGTTTCACTCTACGGATACTAATGTTGCCAGAAACAACGTGACTTGTCTGACAGAACGGAATCATGATGGCGATGATAATAATCTTGATGTCACTGATGAGACAAATGAGTTGTCAACGATGACGAATGCTGATCGAACCTCCTCTGTGCCAGGAGATGGAGAGTTAAATCTTATTCCTCCGTTATGCCACTTGGAGTCTTCAGGAGACGAGGAATTATCGAAATTGGAGATCCCACCCTTTGCATATTATTTATGGGTCAAGAACTTTCGTTGATAAGTCGGCATCACGGACATCATCGTGTCTGACGTTCAGAGCAAGTGGTGGTGGATTGACGACTTACCCTCATGATGTGGAAGGTAAATCCCGAATAGGATGTGACCAGCCCTACGACGTGTCATACATGTTTATGTGGGTTAACTGGATGAAGTTACTACTACCTTTAGGTCATGCTACGATAGATAGAGGAATAAAGGACCTGATGGGAAGGTAGAGGCACATAGTTAGCTTGATAGGTTACATCTAGGTTGGAGGGCGGGTAGACGTACTGCTGCAAGTCCTACTCGTTCTTCTGGTGTGAATTAGAGAATAAGAGTGAACCTTAAGCTGAAGTGTCAAATGGGCTTCCTTCGTATGGAGGGATTTTGCCGGCCGGTGTAGAAACTATTTTGAAGGCTTTGGTTTTGGAAAATCCCTCCATGTATATATATTTGTGTTATGATCTGACTGACTCTTTCTGTTCGATATTTTGGTACTCTATTTGATCCTATGTTGGGATTTTATCATTTGTATCTTGTTATTATTTCTATATCTTGTACTTATATTGAAGTTTCTATGTTTCCTTCTGAACTATATATGTGTTGTTGAAAAATGATACTTAATATGGCTACAGCCATTTTTGGATTTGATACTCTAGCAGCAGCTCATTGCAACTAACTGGAAGCAGTTATTCTTCCAGTATCGGAACTTGCTGTTGTGATTAGAGACTCGAAGGTGTAATAGTGTTTTGGTCATTGTCTGTATTTCCCTTTTTGATTAAAAGTAGAATCGTTCTTTCCCAGAATTATCATTTTTGGACTTGGACTGGGCGAGATGCGTGTGAACCTACACCTTTTGGATTCCGAGCTCACTGCGAGAGTAATAAATACTTCTACAGTTCAAAACAACATTCGGAGGAGGATCCGTTGGATATTTTACTGTCAACTAGTTCTAAACAATATTTGGAGAAAAACCCTTTGGATATCTTATTTTCAACAATAATTGAAGAGACGGAACCGGTGAATTCTAATATCTGATCATTATTGTATCAATAATTTGGAGTTTCTTTTCCACTGAATTTCAAGTGCTATAATGAGTTCTCGTAAGAAGCCAAACACGCACAGGGATGGAGCCTATGAAGAATCACGGAATGAAAAGCAAGTTCCCTATGACTCTTCATGTTTAAAGGGTTCACTCTCTGATAAGAATGAAATTATGTTTGTTACTTATTATCGTAAGCCATCGTTAGAGGGCACTAAGGGACGTAGTTTGGACGAGAACTTTGAAGTACCTGGGAAAGATCTGATGTCTAAGACACCGGTAGTAGGCTTAGAATTGCCAAAGGTTGAATTAAGTTATTTTGATGGTCAACACCGTGATTATTTTAAATTTGTTTGGCAATTTCGAACGTTTATAGAACCTAGAGTTGATGATGACAACCTGCGTCCATTGTATCTAGTCCATTACTGCGAGGGTAAGGCAAAGCCTGCCATTAAAGGGCTAAAGACATTTTAACGCAGCTTTTTGGTCAAACACACTTGATAGCCCGGGAAATTTTAGAAGAGTTGTTTAAGCCAGGAAGGGCTGATTACAACTATCCAGAACACCTGTCGTATTTAGCCATACGTATGCAAGAATGCTCTATGATCTTAGAGCAGCTGAATTATACCTCTGAGTTGAATTCCTTGGTAACTTTGGAGCGGATAGTAAAGCTTCTACCTCATCGTATGCAGGTCCAGTGGGCAGACCTAGCAGTTAGATGGATTGATGAGGATAGAGAACCAACTTTCACCGAACTTACTGAATTTGTATTAGCTCGAGCAAGAATAGCTGGTAGCAGATTCGGTCGGCCGGCCAATCGACTAAAAATAGGACGGGACGTGAAGATGAGTTGCCACCTACAATCGAAACATGCGAATGTATCGACCGTAAGGCTCAGCTGTAGCATCTGTACTGGCGACCACATTGTTTGTAAATGTGATGGTAGAAGTCTCCTAGCTGCTCGAAATGCAAGGAATGGTAATTTGGATTCGAGCAAACAGAGGTTAATGGGTGCAGGGAATATAAATAAGGACGAAACAGGTTTGACTTTACGGAACGAAGCTTATGTTCCGAACCCTTCACGTAGGGTAAATTATTTGACACGACCTAGAGCTGATCCTAGGATAGCAAGTGTAAACAGTGACACAGCACTTCATGTTGCTGCGCGATCAGGATGTCTGCCGGCTACTGTATCCAGTCCAACGGAGTATCATAATAGTGAAGCGAAAGATAATAGCAGCTTAGGGCGTCCTGCTGATGTCTGTTTACAGTCAACTGATGGACGGTTGCATACTAGTCCAAGTAGTCATAGCAATATTGATAGTATTTGTGTAAGTGGCAGAAGTGGTGGCTTACGACTAAAGCCTGCACGCGAACTATCTCGCAACTCGCCACTAACTGTGAATAGTCGAAACATCAATGTGGACAACAACAACAAGGTTGAGGTGAAACCTCATGTGTCTATTAATAGTGTGGTTGATGTGAATATTAAAGGTGATGGTGTGGAGAGTGGAATCACTATGGTAGTGCAGTTTCTTCGGTTGCTGTTACCAATGTAGCTTCATAGAGTGCTTCACTTCAAGACGAAATTAGATGGTTGAGCGTGGAGAATGTAGGCGTCAGTGGCAAAAGCGTCAGCCACAGTGATGGCACTACTGAGAAGGTTAACATTCAGTGTCCTAGGTGCAATGAGGAGTCATCTAGCTCTCATGGACATGCTGTTGTATTGATTAGTCAGCATGAGGAATCGAGCATGGAACGGTCCACCTGTCGCAGTCCACCATAATTGACTTGTACTACAAGATTCGGGATGAGCACTACCAACATTGATAAGACAGCTGAGGTGAAGTACATTCCTGGTAAGGGAAGTAATGTTGATCGAGTAGAGTTGGACGCTGCACATGAGTCGAATGGATGTCATGGGAAGAGTACTACTACTTCTACTGCTGAGGTTACTAAGAATAATGGCATTGATAATACCCCTGCGGGTAATAGTGATCAAGGGAAATCGAAAGACACTCATCGACATCGAAATGGGCGTACTTTACGCCCACATACTGCTACCAAATGTGAGAAGCAGGAGAAACGATATGATGTTACTATTATTAAGAAGCGTAAACTTCGTTCTCTTTCGGATGCTGTGACTAGCAATGGAGATAGTAGTCATCAGAATTGTAGTAGTGGCAGCTATAGTGAAGAGACAGCAGGTGTTAGCAATCCATCTATAGTGACTAGTCGATCAACTTCATTGAACGAGCCTTCTAGTGTTTTGACGTCATCGAACCCCGCCTCAAATATAAAGTTGATTGAAGATGCACAAGGTTGTGCAACTGTGACTGTTTCTACTCCGGTTGACTGTCAGTTGAGTGACGATGAGAAAAATGCGTGTGATGGTAACAGCCAGTCTACAGTGTTGTATGATAACGATGCCACTGATTTGCACCTGGCTTGTGTTTCTGAAACGGAACGTGAAGAACGACAAGTGAGTTTATCAGTTTCGAATTGCGATACTAATGCTGTTCTCTCATGTAGCGAGATCAGTTATACAACAATGGAAGAGTTTCACTCTACGGATACTAATGTTGCCAGAAACAACGTGACTTGTCTGACAGAACGGAATCATGATGGCGATGATAATAATCTTGATGTCACTGATGAGACAAATGAGTTGTCAACGATGACGAATGCTGATCGAACCTCCTCTGTGCCAGGAGATGGAGAGTTAAATCTTATTCCTCCGTTATGCCACTTGGAGTCTTCAGGAGACGAGGAATTATCGAAATTGGAGATCCCACCCTTTGCATATTATTTATGGGTCAAGAACTTTCGTTGATAAGTCGGCATCACGGACATCATCGTGTCTGACGTTCAGAGCAAGTGGTGGTGGATTGACGACTTACCCTCATGATGTGGAAGGTAAATCCCGAATAGGATGTGACCAGCCCTACGACGTGTCATACATGTTTATGTGGGTTAACTGGATGAAGTTACTACTACCTTTAGGTCATGCTACGATAGATAGAGGAATAAAGGACCTGATGGGAAGGTAGAGGCACATAGTTAGCTTGATAGGTTACATCTAGGTTGGAGGGCGGGTAGACGTACTGCTGCAAGTCCTACTCGTTCTTCTGGTGTGAATTAGAGAATAAGAGTGAACCTTAAGCTGAAGTGTCAAATGGGCTTCCTTCGTATGGAGGGATTTTGCCGGCCGGTGTAGAAACTATTTTGAAGGCTTTGTTTTTGGAAAATCCCTCCATGTATATATATTTGTGTTATGATCTGACTGACTCTTTCTGTTCGATATTTTGGTACTCTATTTGATCCCATTTTGGGATTTTATCATTTGTATCTTGTTATTATTTCTATATCTTGTACTTATACTGAAGTTTCTATGTTTCCTTCTGAACTATAAATGTGTTGTTTAAAATTGACACTTAATATGGCTACAGCCATTTTCGGATTTGATACTCTAGCAGCAGCTCGTTGCAACTAACTGGAAGCAGTTATTCTTCCAGTATCGGAACTTGCTGTTGTGATTAGAGACTCGAAGGTGTAATAGTGTTTTGGTCATTGTCTGTATTTCCCTTTTTGATTAAAAGTAGAATCGTTCTTTCCCAGAATTATCATTTTTGGACTTGGACTGGGCGAGATGCGTGTGAACCTACACCTTTTGGATTCCGAGCTCACTGCGAGAGTAATAAATACTTCTACAGTTCAAAACAACATTCGGAGGAGGATCCGTTGGATATTTTACTGTCAACTAGTTCTAAACAATATTTGGAGAAAAACCCTTTGGATATCTTATTTTCAACAATAATTGAAGAGACGGAACCGGTGAATTCTAATATCTGATCATTATTGTATCAATAATTTGGAGTTTCTTTTCCACTGAATTTCAAGTGCTATAATGAGTTCTCGTAAGAAGCCAAACACGCACAGGGATGGAGCCTATGAAGAATCACGGAATGAAAAGCAAGTTCCCTATGACTCTTCATGTTTAAAGGGTTCACTCTCTGATAAGAATGAAATTATGTTTGTTACTTATTATCGTAAGCCATCGTTAGAGGGCACTAAGGGACGTAGTTTGGACGAGAACTTTGAAGTACCTGGGAAAGATCTGATGTCTAAGACACCGGTAGTAGGCTTAGAATTGCCAAAGGTTGAATTAAGTTATTTTGATGGTCAACACCGTGATTATTTTAAATTTGTTTGGCAATTTCGAACGTTTATAGAACCTAGAGTTGATGATGACAACCTGCGTCCATTGTATCTAGTCCATTACTGCGAGGGTAAGGCAAAGCCTGCCATTAAAGGGCTAAAGACATTTTAACGCAGCTTTTTGGTCAAACACACTTGATAGCCCGGGAAATTTTAGAAGAGTTGTTTAAGCCAGGAAGGGCTGATTACAACTATCCAGAACACCTGTCGTATTTAGCCATACGTATGCAAGAATGCTCTATGATCTTAGAGCAGCTGAATTATACCTCTGAGTTGAATTCCTTGGTAACTTTGGAGCGGATAGTAAAGCTTCTACCTCATCGTATGCAGGTCCAGTGGGCAGACCTAGCAGTTAGATGGATTGATGAGGATAGAGAACCAACTTTCACCGAACTTACTGAATTTGTATTAGCTCGAGCAAGAATAGCTGGTAGCAGATTCGGTCGGCCGGCCAATCGACTAAAAATAGGACGGGACGTGAAGATGAGTTGCCACCTACAATCGAAACATGCGAATGTATCGACCGTAAGGCTCAGCTGTAGCATCTGTACTGGCGACCACATTGTTTGTAAATGTGATGGTAGAAGTCTCCTAGCTGCTCGAAATGCAAGGAATGGTAATTTGGATTCGAGCAAACAGAGGTTATTGGGTGCATTGAATATAAATAAGGATGAAACAGGTTTGACTGTACGGAGCGAAGCTTATGTTCGGAACCGTTCACGTAGAGTAAATTATTTGACACGACATAGAGCTGATCCTAGGATAACAAGTGTAAACGGTGACACAGCACTTCATGTTGCTGGGCGATCAGGATGTCCGCAGGCTACTGTATCTAGTCCCACGGAGTATCATGATAGTGAAGCGAAAGATAATAGTACCTTAGCGCGTCCTGCTGATGTTCGTTTGCAGTCAACGGATGGACGGCCACATACTAGTCCAAGTAGTCATAGCAATATTGATAGTATTTGTGTAAGTGGCAGAAGTGGTGGCTTACGACTAAAGCCTGCACGTGAACTATCTCGCAACCCGTCACTAACTGTGAAGAGTCGGAACATCAGTGTGGACAACAACAACGTCAAGGTTTAGGTGAAACCTCATGTGTCTATTATTAGTGTGATAGATGTGAATAATAAAGGAGATGGTAACGAGAGTGGAATCACTATAGGTAGTGCAGTTTCTCCGGTTGCGGTTACCAATGTAGCTTCATAGAGTGCTTCACTTCAAGACGAAATTAGATGGTTGAGCGTGGAGAATGTAGGCGTCAGTGGCAAAAGCGTCAGCCACAGTGATGGCACTACTGAGAAGGTTAACATTCAGTGTCCTAGGTGCAATGAGGAGTCATCTAGCTCTCATGGACATGCTGTTGTATTGATTAGTCAGCATGAGGAATCGAGCATGGAACGGTCCACCTGTCGCAGTCCACCATAATTGACTTGTACTACAAGATTCGGGATGAGCACTACCAACATTGATAAGACAGCTGAGGTGAAGTACATTCCTGGTAAGGGAAGTAATGTTGATCGAGTAGAGTTGGACGCTGCACATGAGTCGAATGGATGTCATGGGAAGAGTACTACTACTTCTACTGCTGAGGTTACTAAGAATAATGGCATTGATAATACCCCTGCGGGTAATAGTGATCAAGGGAAATCGAAAGACACTCATCGACATCGAAATGGGCGTACTTTACGCCCACATACTGCTACCAAATGTGAGAAGCAGGAGAAACGATATGATGTTACTATTATTAAGAAGCGTAAACTTCGTTCTCTTTCGGATGCTGTGACTAGCAATGGAGATAGTAGTCATCAGAATTGTAGTAGTGGCAGCTATAGTGAAGAGACAGCAGGTGTTAGCAATCCATCTATAGTGACTAGTCGATCAACTTCATTGAACGAGCCTTCTAGTGTTTTGACGTCATCGAACCCCGCCTCAAATATAAAGTTGATTGAAGATGCACAAGGTTGTGCAACTGTGACTGTTTCTACTCCGGTTGACTGTCAGTTGAGTGACGATGAGAAAAATGCGTGTGATGGTAACAGCCAGTCTACAGTGTTGTATGATAACGATGCCACTGATTTGCACCTGGCTTGTGTTTCTGAAACGGAACGTGAAGAACGACAAGTGAGTTTATCAGTTTCGAATTGCGATACTAATGCTGTTCTCTCATGTAGCGAGATCAGTTATACAACAATGGAAGAGTTTCACTCTACGGATACTAATGTTGCCAGAAACAACGTGACTTGTCTGACAGAACGGAATCATGATGGCGATGATAATAATCTTGATGTCACTGATGAGACAAATGAGTTGTCAACGATGACGAATGCTGATCGAACCTCCTCTGTGCCAGGAGATGGAGAGTTAAATCTTATTCCTCCGTTATGCCACTTGGAGTCTTCAGGAGACGAGGAATTATCGAAATTGGAGATCCCACCCTTTGCATATTATTTATGGGTCAAGAACTTTCGTTGATAAGTCGGCATCACGGACATCATCGTGTCTGACGTTCAGAGCAAGTGGTGGTGGATTGACGACTTACCCTCATGATGTGGAAGGTAAATCCCGAATAGGATGTGACCAGCCCTACGACGTGTCATACATGTTTATGTGGGTTAACTGGATGAAGTTACTACTACCTTTAGGTCATGCTACGATAGATAGAGGAATAAAGGACCTGATGGGAAGGTAGAGGCACATAGTTAGCTTGATAGGTTACATCTAGGTTGGAGGGCGGGTAGACGTACTGCTGCAAGTCCTACTCGTTCTTCTGGTGTGAATTAGAGAATAAGAGTGAACCTTAAGCTGAAGTGTCAAATGGGCTTCCTTCGTATGGAGGGATTTTGCCGGCCGGTGTAGAAACTATTTTGAAGGCTTTGTTTTTGGAAAATCCCTCCATGTATATATATTTGTGTTATGATCTGACTGACTCTTTCTGTTCGATATTTTGGTACTCTATTTGATCCCATTTTGGGATTTTATCATTTGTATCTTGTTATTATTTCTATATCTTGTACTTATATTGAAGTTTGTATGTTTCCTTCTGAAATATATATGTGTTGTTTAAACTTGATACTTAATATGGCTACAGCCATTTTTGGATTTGATACTCTAGCAGCAGCTCGTTGCAACTAACTGGAAGCAGTTATTCTTCCAGTATCGGAACTTGCTGTTGTGATTAGAGACTCGAAGGTGTAATAGTGTTTTGGTCATTGTCTGTATTTCCCTTTTTGATTAAAAGTAGAATCGTTCTTTCCCAGAATTATCATTTTTGGACTTGGACTGGGCGAGATGCGTGTGAACCTACACCTTTTGGATTCCGAGCTCACTGCGTGATTTTTAAATATTATTACATACATTATGTTGAAATCATATGCATCAATTCATCAAATGCTACAGACCTGGCTGCAAAAGTGAACCTACAACTCAGAACACAAAAGCAACATGTACAGCAGATAAGCAAGATCAGTATGTAAATTTTACTTATTTCAGTGGATTTAAGACAAGATTTTACTTTTAACCAGAATTCATGGCTCATTAGTAGTGAAATAACTTAGATGTGTTGGGCAATCAATCATCGTAATAGTATTAAGCACAAACTGAAGCTGACTTTGAATATTTACACGGAACAAAATTACGACACAAATTTTGTCGTTCTTTTAAGGTTCAATCAAATGAATACCAAACCTTGTTTGTAAAAACCAGTGGCAATAGTATTGATGTTGACTAGGATGGACAATTCACCTTCGAGGAGAATGGCTTCAATGAGTCTCTTGGTTTTGGTTATGGTTTTTAGAGAGTAGTGACTCCACTTTCATGAAGAGAACGCGATTGGTTTATTAGAAACATTCATTATTATAATCAATTGTGTCAGTGATTGTTTTACTGAACCTTTTCTGTTCTGCTCCTCGTCATTCTCTCTATATTTTTCTTTTTTCAGCACCTTTTTCTGACCCTTAAATATTGGTCTGGATATTTGTGGAATTCTTGGTTGCTTTTCACACAAGACTGTAACTTTGTTATCTGACGAATACCAAAAAAACCTTTTGATATTTAAATCATCAATTGTCCTAGTCCAATATCAGAACACAATAATTCTAGGAGAAAGTGGTCTATTAATAGAGAATAAATGGAAATACAAACGTTACCTAACAAATTTTACGTCTTCCAATTCAAAATTACTCTGAACGAGTATCAAGGTTCCGGAGACTAGGTGAACTTGTATACCGCACGATATCAAATCCAAAAATGTGGCTGTAGCCATATTATATCAAATTTAAACAACATATGTACAGTTCAGAAGCAAACATAAAAACTTCAATATAAGTACAAAATATAGAAATAATAACAATATACAATGATAAAATCTCAAATTGGAATCAAATAAAATACGAAAATGTCAACAGAAAGAGTCCGTCATGTCATAACAAAAATATATAAACATGGAGGGATTTTCCAAAAAACAAAACATTCAAAAAAGATTATACACCGGCCCGCAAAATCCCTCCATGCAAAAAAGGCAAGCGTTTAATGACACTTCAATTTAGGGTTCCCTCTCATCCCCTAATCCACACCGGAAGAACGAGTAGGACTTACAGCAGTACGCCTACTCGCCCTCAAACATGGATATGACCTATCAAGCTAACTAGGTACCTATACCTTCCCATCAGGCCCTTGATTCCCCTATCTATCGTAGCATGACCTAACGGTAGTATAAACCTTACCCAATTAACCCACACGAACATGTACAACACGTCGTAAAACTGGTCATATCCTATCCGGGCACTACATTCCATATCATGGGGATGAGTCGTCATTCCACCACCACTTGCTCCGGACAGCAGATACAATGAAGTCCGTGATGCTGACTTATCAACAGAAGTTCTTGACCCATAGATAATATGCAAGGGTGGGATCTCCAATTTTGACATTTCATCGTCTCCCGAAGACTTTAAGTGGCATAACATGGGACCAATATTTATCTCTCCATCTCCTGATACAGAGGAGGTTTGAACAGCATTCGTCATCGTCGGTAACTCATTTGTCACATCAGTGACATCCAGATTATTATCATCGTTATCATGATTCCGTTGGATCAGACAAGTCGCGTCGATTCGGTCTGCACTAGCATCCGTAGAGTGAAACTCTTCCATTGTGGTATAACTCATCTCTCTACATGAAAGAACAGCATTAGTGTCACAATTCAAAACGGATACACTCACTTGTTGTTCTTCATGTTCCGTTTCAGAGACACAAGACATATGCACGTCAATAGCATCGTTATCATGCAACACTGTAGACTGGCTGTTACCATCAGACGCTTCCTTCTCATAATCACTTAACTGACAGTCAACCGAAATAGGAACACTTGCAGTTACACAACCTTGTGTATCCTCAATCAACTTAGCATTCGCGGCAGAGTCCGATGACGTCAAATCACTAGGAGGTTCGTTCGATGAAGTTGATCGACTAGTCACTATAAGTGGACTGCTCAAGCTTTCTGTCTCCTTATTATCGCTGTCACTACTAAGATCCTGATGACTAATATTTCCATTGCTAGTCATAGCATCCGAAAGAGAACGAAGTTTACGCTTCTTAATAATAGTAGCATCATGTTGTTTCGTATGCTTCTTAGCTTGGGTTGCAGCATGTGAGCGTAACGTACGATCATTTCGACGACGATGAGTGTCTTTGAACTTCCATCGATCACTATTACTCGCAGGAGTATCATCAATGCTATTATCAATAATAGCCGAAGCTGTACAAGCATCAGTACACTTCTCATGACATCCAGTCTACTCATGCACAGTGGCTAACTCTGCTCGATCAACATTGCTTTCCTTACTAGGAATGTTTTTAGCCTTATCTATCTTATCGCTGTGGGTAGTGCCCATTCCGATACTTGTAGTACAAGTCAATTATGGTGGAGTGCGACAGGTGAACAATTCCGTGCTCTTTTCCTCATGCTGCATTTTCAACACAACAGCATGTCCATGAAACCTAGATGACTCCTCATTGCACCTAGGATACCCAATGTTAGCCTTCTCAGTACTGCCATCACTGTGGCTTAAACTATTGCCACCGACGCTTATATTCTCCACGCTCAACCAACCAATTTCGTCTTGATTCGAAGTACACAAGGAAGCTATATTAGCAACATCAACCGAAGAAACTGCACTACCTGTAGTGATTCCACTATCGTTACCGTCACGTTTATTATTGTCCACAATGATTTTCTGACTATTCATAGTTAATGACAAGTTGCAAGATAGTTGGCATGCAGGCTTTAAAGCTATGCTACCACTTTCACTAACACTACCAATGTTGCTATGACTACTTGGACCAGTATACAACTGTCCGTCCGTTGACCGTAAACAACCATCAGCAGGACGCGCTGAGCTGCTAATATCTTCCGCTTTAATAGCATGATGCGCTATAGAACTAGATATAGTAGCCTGCAGACATCCTGATTGCTCAGCAACATGAAGTGCCGTGTCACTAATTACACTTTTTGTCCTAGAATCAACTCTAGGTCCCGTTATATAATTTACCCTACGTGAAGGGTTCCGAACATAGGCTTTATTCCATCCAGCCAATCCTGTTTTGTCCTTATTCATATTTACTGAACTCACTAACCTCTGTTCGCTCGAATCCAAATAACCGTTCCTGGCTTTTCGAGCAGTTAAGAGGCTTTTATCATCACACACCTCGGATCCATCTTGATGCCTACACTTTTCGCCTTTTTCTTTCTTTTCCATACTTAAAAAAGCCATCTTATCTGTTACACAAACCGGCTTCTTACTGGGATACGCATCAAGGGGTTTTAAATCATCGCGGTCACATACTCGGCTTTCAACAGCGTATACTTTTCTGATACAATTGACAACTCTCTTATATTCCGGGTGTGAGTTAGGTGTAAACGAAGAATCCTCTTGTCTCGCACGCAGATCACTAATAGCTTCCGTATTATGTCCTGTTTTAGCACGATTAGCTAATCTTCCGAACCTACTACTAGCTATCTTAGCACGAGACATAATAAAATCCGTCAATTCATTGAAATTAGGTTCTCTTTCCTCTTCGTCCCACTTGATTCCCAGCTCTGCCCACTGGGCTTGCATTCGATGAGGTAAGAGCCTAACTATTCGTTCTAAAGTAACCAGGGAATTAAGTTCCGTTGTACAATTTAACTGTTCTAAGGTTAGAGTAACATTCTGCATTTTAATAGCCAAATTCGTCAATTGTTCAGGATCATTATAATCTACATTCCCGGTCCTAAACAAGTCCTCTAAGGTTTCACGGGCTATCACATGCGACTGTCCAAAGAGCTGTTTTAAAATAGCCTTAACTATCTTATATCCCACTTGTGGATCCATTATAAGGCAACTTTCAATAGCATTTTTTGCCTTTCCTTTACAGTAGTGAATTAAATATAATAAACGCAAATTATCATCCTTTACTCTAGGTTCTATAAACGA